TGCTTTTTGAGTTGCTGAAAGTGATGTATAAAATGTAATGTAGTATGTGCTGGTCTGTTTGTAGGAATTGTATGGTGGTTATCTGTTGATTTTAAAATTTTATTTAAGTGTTTCTAATGACTTTCAGCCATTGTCAGTATAAGAAAAATTGAAGGTAGTCCATATGATAAAATCATTGTATTGACGTAATGCTGTTTTTCATAAAAATAAGATTCACCAGTTCGAATAAAAGTTGGTAAGGTGGTTGTTAATGATTCATCTATTATTAGCTTATTAGAATAATTAGAAGTTCGAATAAGCTGTGCAGCAGTTGGTGGACAATATGTTTTGTCAGCTTGTTGTTGTCTTTATATACGTTGATTATTTTGGTGGTTGCGTAATTTTTCTAATTGTAAATATGATCATGCCAACCATTTATGATGGAGCCTAAAACGTGAATCGATATTGAGTGTTCTTTGTTTAATATATTTAGAATAGGTTTCTTTGTGAACAGAAGTTGATCTAGAATGGATATCATGATAATAATATCCTTTTCTATCTGGAAATAAATCGGAAAATAATAAAGCTTCCAAATTTGGATCATTTACGGATATTGGTAGCAAAGTATTGTTTGGAGTTCTGATAAATCCTGCCATTAGATGTGAATAATGATAATCTTCATTGTGAATTTCAGTGTTAAAATTAATATTTGGGATTACAATGTCATTAGATAAAAAGGGTGGGGCAGAATCATCGTCAGATAGATGAAAAGCTTTTGGGAAAGGATCGGCAATTTGAGAATTAGGTGAATTTAAAAGGCGAAAGTAATTTTTAAAAATGGATTATTTTGTTTTAACCAATTTGCAGCATAAATTAAAGTATTATTAAGCCAAGTATTAGAATTATTTGAATTATTTTCAAGATAGGCACTGATCATTCCAGAATATAATATCAAAAAACGCATGTTTTTTGAAAAATTCATTGTTCCAGTTAGAGTTTTATATTCTGTATATATTGTGCTATGTCCTGAATTTCTTCCTAAAGAACAATGCATGAATATAGGAGATAAAAATATTCGATTATTCAAGGGTACAGCTTGAATTTCATTTGGAATAGGATGAAGAAAAGGAAAGTTATATCTACTTGTAGGTTTT